GGCCTGCTGTACCCCTCTGGCAAGATGTTCTGTTCCTGGATTAGCTGTGTGGTTTTGACCCTAGTCTCACTGCAGGGACTTTAGCTGCAGGGTTTCACCCCAAGCCTGTATACCAGGTCTGGGCTAGGTCTGGAGAGATATGGGGAAGGGGAGCAAGAGAGTGCAGAAGTTCTCACACACACTCACCGGGGTTGTGCTTTGGTGGGTCTGCAGGATTCCCAAGAGCGCGGCAGAAGTTCTCACAGGATGGGCTGTGCTGGCTCTGGATGGGCGGAAGAGGTCTGGAAACGCGGGGGAAGGCCTCTCTCACACGGTGTGCCTGGATTTTGAGCAGTGGGCACAGGAGGGCCTGGGGTTGGTCAGATATGGAATGGGCCCAAGGCGCAGCAGAAGTTCTCACTCACAGGGCGGGCTGTGCTGGGTCGGGCAGGCTGTGCTGGGTCGGGCAGGCTGTACTGGGTCTGGATGGGCCTTATATGTGCTTAAGGAGGAAAATACTATATCTTCTACCCACAAATACTTAGTGACTTTCCCTGGGTGACTCTGAAAAGATTCTTCTACTGACACTATCTTCACCTATTTTCTAGTATTCTTAGTCAGGGACTTACAAGTGACTCCATTTTCTCTCATTCCTGAGCCCCCTATGCTGACTTTTATTAAAACAGAGCTCCCTTGCTTCCTTCTCAGGTTTAAGCCCAATTCTCTCTTTAACTAGTTATGTTCGTTTGTTACTATCAAGTTCCAACCTACAGAAGAGTCACAAGAATTGTGCATAGTGTCCAGTGTGTTCTTTATCCCCAGTTAACAGTTATCCCTCCTTCCTAATTATACTCACGTCTATAGAAATACGTTTTTCTGAACCATTTGAATTCTCAGGTTGTTGACAAGATGCCCCATTACTCCTTTATATGTCAACATGTACTTCCTAAAAACACAAACACAATTGACATCACTACAACACAGTTACAACAATCAGGAAACTCACATTAATACTGTTTTACCATTTTATAAACCTTACTCATTGTGTGGGAGATTTTTGGGGTGTGGTACTGGGGATCGAACTCAGGACCTTGCAATAGACAGGACCTTGCACTTATGCCTGCTGTCTCTCCAGCCCCTGACCTTACCCATTTACCTATTATCTCAATCATGGGTATGTATGTATGTATGTATGTATTTATATGCATTTGGTGCACTGTCTCACTATGCAGCTCAGATTCATAGTGATCCTCCTGTTTTCAGCCTCCTCTAGTGCTGGGATTACAGGCCTGTGCCACCACACCTGGACTGGGTTGCTGAATGAGCGTACCCCGGGGGCAGAGCTGGCACAGCATATAGTGTTGGGAATCAAACCCCAGTCCCTGCACTTGCCTAAACAGGCGCTTAGTCTGCTGAGCTATCTCTCTGGCCCAACATTGTTTTTTTAAGTAGATCTAGTATTCATCCCAGGAAACAGGTTGCGTTTGTCTCTTTGGTCTCCTTCAGTACAGAAGAGTAACTCAAATCTTTTGTCTTTTATGACCTTGATATTTTTGAAGCACATAGGTCAGCAACTTTGTGGAACTTCTCTCCATTAGGGTTTGTCTGAGGTTTTTTGTGATTTACACATGCAGAACTGGTGCTGCTTTCTTGATAATTTATATCAGCAGGCACATGGGGTCAGTTTGTCCCATAACTTGAGATGTTCATTTTTAATACTTTGTTTTGATGTTGTTGGCCAGATTTCTCAATTTATTAAGAAGTAATTAGCAAGTGTTTAAAGAGAAACTATCAGTAGTCTTTTCCTATCTTTTACTTACTTATCCTACCCACCTCTGTTGGTGAGTCTTACCTGAATTCACTCAGATGGTTGCCAAATGTTGATTTCTCCACTTCCATCATCTCTTCTTCATTTATTAGCTGGCACTTACTTTAAGAAGGCAACTTTAATTCTCCCCCATTTCCCTACATCAGCATAGCTCACGGATTTCTCTTTAGTTCAGTGTGATTCTAGTCAGAACGCCATTATGGCACACATCACTTTCTCCAGGAATCCTTTGTGAAAGTCCCCTTGCCAAAATCCAGGGTAGTATATAATGCCTGAAATAAATGATAACCTTTTTCATTATTTAAATTGAACTCATTTGTGTCTTATGCTTACAACACTCCAACTTCACATAATGGTTGGGTAGAATCATCTATTCAGAAAATAACCCCCATTTTCACTGGGGTAACTTCTGTTCTTTCTTTTGTGAAACATGGGCTGCTTATTTTTAACATCTTATGTGATATTGAGCATGCTGATCCAAAGAGTGGGAGACAGCAGGTTGGGGTGTTTCCTTGACTGGCCTCTCATCCATATCTAAAGAATAGTGTCAAACGTGGTGAGCAGGCCAGGGAGATGGCTCAGTGGAATAAGTGCTTCCCTGGCAAGCGCAAGGGCCTGAGTTCAATCCCCGGTTCCACCAAAAAAAATAAATAAATAAATAAAATAAAAGTGGTGAGCATTTTCTAAAATGTAGATCTTTGGGGTCTTTTAAGTTAAAATTTTCTTGATGCCATATGATCATAATTAATAATTTTACCCATCAAACTGGTTCTAGAATCAGATGTACATAAATATCCACCTTCTAGATGAATAGATGAGTAACTAAAGTGAGAATCACTCAGACCTTTGGCTTATTTTGGTTGGCACTATTGATTTGGAAATTAGTTTCTTCTGAACAGAGTCAGGTGGAATCTGTTTCATATCTCCTCATTGCACCAGCCCTGTTCCACCTCTATTTTTCCATTGCTTTATTCACAACCCTTAGGAACAAAATGTGGAGTTTGATGAGCTAAGTATTCATTGAGTCTTGACATAAGATTAACATGACACATAAGGCTTAGAGTGGTGGGCTGGGATAGCGTGAACGTTCTCCACACTGTTAAGGTGCTTGTGGTAATAGACATGAAGCAAATGATTCCACCACTGTAAAGCACATAGCTTTCATTTTTTTGTACCAGCTTCACTCTAGGAGAGGTGACTGGCTGGGATGGTAACCCAAGGATTCTGGAATTACATCCTTTGTCAGGGGAAAAGAGAGCTATTATTGATTAACATCACTCACTGTGGGCCCAAGCTGGGAGAAAATTGGCACGTTTGTTGAGTAGTTGATATCCTTACCCTGTGTAGACAGTGTTAAAAAATAAATAAGTAAAAAAGTTGCAGGTGATAGGAATTCCATTTGGGAGAGGATTGGTGTGGGTGGTGTTGTGTGGGTGAGGCTTGAACTTCACAGAAGTGGAAGGAGGGCACTTTTGCCAGAGAGGCAACAGGCAAAGGCCCAGTGACGGGGGGGTCAGGCAGAGCAGGAGCCGAGCAGAGCCGCCTGGCCAAGGAGGGCAGTCACCTGTGCAGGAGATGTGGGAAGGGATTAAAAATGGGGCAAGATTCCGTGGCAAGTGCAAGGGCCTGAGTTCAATCCCCGGTTCTGCAAAAAAAAAAAAAAAAAATCTAAAAAAAAAAAAAAAAAATGGGGCAAGAAGAGATTGTGAAGACTGGGGATAGTGACTATGGAGCTTCCCAAGATCAACTAATGAGGTACTTTTCTCAGTTCTGTCACCACAAAGCCCTAGTTTAGGCCTGAAGCCTTTTGAGGGTACAGTGCTCACATCTGGATATAGTAAGCTCTGAACAACAAAAGCACTTGAGTAAAATGTCAACTTTTTCCTATTCCTGCTAATTGATGTTATGTGTGGTTCTTGTCTTTTTGTTCTATTATGTTACATTTTAAAAGCACAGCTGGGGCTGGGGAGATAGCGCAGTAGAATAAGCGATTGCCTGGCAACCACAGGGTCCTGAGTTCAATCCTCAGTACCAAAAAAATAAATAAATAGTTTTTTTTAAAAAAAGATTTATTTATAAATAAAAAAATAAAAGTACAGCTGGATTATTGTAGGATTAGACAGCACCCTGAAGAGGTGCTACTTGTCAAAAGAAGTGGCTTCACATTGTATAATTGTTCAGGGAACAATAAATATAACCTAGTTGACTCTGGTTCATGAGGCCTTAGAATGATGAAGCCAAATTCAGGGATCTTTGAATGGATGGGAAATGGGGGACAGATCATAATACTATCACCTCCATAATGTGAAACAGACCTGGAGCTGCTCTTCTCCCAAGATTTAGTTACACATTCAATTCTGGAAATTCTAAGAAAAAAATGTAAACTGCAATGAAGAGAAGAAGAGTGTTAGATTTTCAGAAGTGTCTGATTTTTTAAAAAAATTTTGTCTCTCAGATACATTTAGGATCTTGATGTCAGAATCTTTGCTGACATAAACATTTTTGTGAAGTAGAATGGTTTAAAGCATAAAGGTTGGAGCCAGGCTATTTATTCTGGTCCTTGCTTCCCCACTTTCTTGCTATGAGTTTGGACAAGGTACTTACTTAACTTCTTCAAAGGAATAGTAACAGTCCCTGCTTTGTAAGGTTATTGCAAAGAATAAATGAAGTTCAATGAGGTAACGTTTATAAGAGCAATTCTATGACACCTAGTGTCTCATACATGTATGGAAAATAACCACTGTCAGTATTGTTTAGGGTTTCATTTGTGGGAAATGGTATCAAATAGTAATTGGGCAGTGTAGTTAACTTGAATGGTAAACCCTAAACTTAGCTGTGCCACAGAGTTTTGTGATCAACTTTCTAGGTCTCAATTTTCTCATCTTTAAGAGAAGACCAATAATGCCCCATCTTCCTTATAAGGTATTAGGGTCAGATTTGATAACGAAGTGCTTTAAAAATATGAAATAGCACACAAATGCTAAACTTCATTGCTGCTGTTATTGTAGGGATGATGGTGATGGTACATGATATTGATAAAAATGGAATATATGAACCTACAATATATGGACTCAATTTTAAGTTTAAATAACATCAGGAATGATCATAGCATCGACTTATGTTTATTACAAATAGGCAAATTTGCTTTATAATTCTTGAAATAAAATGACATTTTAGGTTTTCTTTCTCCTAGAAACCTTGGAGAGCTGATAGATCGGTTTGTGGCTGATTTCAAAGCCCAGGGGCCACCGAAGCCCAACACTGATGAAGGGGGTGCTGTCCTCCCCAGCTGTGCCGACCTCTTTGTCTATTATAAGAAATGCATGGTGCAGTGCTCACAGCTCAGCACTGGGGAGCCAATGATAGCCCTGACGACCATTTTCCAGAAGTACCTCCGAGAATACGCCTGGAAAATCCTCTCTGGCAACCTGCCCAAGTGAGTCCCATTCTTCACTATCTGAATGGTGAAATGAGAGTCTAAATATGGGGATCTTTAAGGAAATCAACTCTGACGTTGTTTACTGAACTGCCATGAGTACCAAGGAGGAAGACATTCTTTTTGAGTTCCCAAGGTCTGACACTATTTCCTCTCGAATGACATTCCACACCTGATCGACACCATTAGCAGAGATGCCCACCCTGGCTGCCACAGTAGACTCTGCAGAGCCAGTCCTATTATACAGGATGTGTATATATGTAACCTATATGGATTCAGCAATAGCTACCTGGAAAATAGGTGATGGAAATAACTATTAAATAGCATAGGTTATATCATTCAAACTTCATTCAGTGTGATTATAACCTGTAGTGATGGGACACATGATTTTTCCTTCTGATTGGATTCCAGTGTCTCTTTTTTAGAGTATGTATCTTACTATGCTGGACAGAGTTTGATTTTTAAAGATATGGTAGGATTTTCAGGGAGGAGGTTGCATAACAAAGCACACAATTACATTGTATTATAAGACATAGAAGATTGTTATATTATTACTTAAAGGAGTGTTTAGTCATCTTAGAGATGTTTCAGTTTTATTGCAGTTTCAACTGTAATAGAATATGACCTAATATAACACTTCTGAATTTAGTTTCTACAAATCATACTTATGGCTAAATTAACAATTAATTTTTGTCATTGTCACTAAATGTGTCATATATGGGAATTTTACATTATTTGGAAGAAAGAGAATACAGCCCATGCTCTATAGGAGATTAGAACTGTCATTTATGGCTTACCAATAAGAACTTTGATTATGATGGAAATTATTTTAAAATTTTAAATTTCTTCCTGATTTAATTATTTATAAACATACATATAATATGTGTGGTGTGTATGCTTTTGTATATTGAACAGAATCAGGCTATACTACTGATAGTTTTATATTCTGCTACCTTCACTTACCATTATCCGGTGAGTATGTTCTTATGCATGTTAGTATCCTAGCACAAAACAAATGATGTATTCAGCTGGGATTTTGTTAGTGAAGACATTGTTCACAGAAATGGGGACAAGGTAAAAAGTATCAGAAGAAAATTCTGAAGCATCCACACACCAGTGGGTAATCATTGCTACCTTACAGCCCATTGGGGAACTGAAAATGTAGATGAGAACTGCCCCCATAGAAACTATAGTTGTAGAGAATTTGAGCTGCTCCTCAGTATCTTGAGGTAGTTAGGGCTTCAGGGAGGACTCCTGTGTTACAGTATGTACTCTTCTGCAAACATGTAAGCCCAATACAGAATTTTCTTAACTGAGAGAAACTGTTGGAGAACCAACTTTTGTTCTACCGATGATCCAAATGAGTTGTGGCTAGCAAGAAATTCTAAGCCAAAGCAAGAGTCAGCTCAGTAGCCTCCTCTGTCTCTGGTCGTTGTAGTTGATAGGTTTGATTACTCTTGGAGTTGCCTCTTCCTGCTACTGTTGGTGAAAGAATCTAAACAGATGGCAGTCAAGGTGAGGTCAGGAGGAAAAGGACTCATTGTATGTGGATTTCTTTGGGTCCTGGCCAGGCTTTCCTTTCCTTTTTTTCTTTGTCTTACAAAATGCAGTTTCAGGCTCAGGAAGCAAATTAGAAGTTCCTCCCTGGCTAATTCCTGTTCCTTTTCTTCAGAACCACAACCAGCAGTGGAGGATTAACCATCAGCAGCCTCCTCAAGGAAAAGGAGGGCTCCGAAGTGGCTAAGTTCACTCTTGAGGAGCTCTGCCTCATCTGCAGCATCCTGAGCACAGCAGAGTACTGTCTGGCCACCACCCAACAGGTGAGCTATCCTGGATATGTGTACTGCCTCCTTTACATGAACACTCTGGGCCACATAGCTTCAAGGAAAAGCCCCTGAGCCTAACAGAGCTATATGCAACCTTAGCCAAGCTAGTGGGCCTCCCACAGAGGAAAACTCACTGTCCAACCAGAACACTACCGGGCAGCCATCTTACAGAAGAGCTTTGTTAAAAGGAGACCAACTCTTGTTTCCTCCCCAGAGTTGTGAAAGCCACTCAGCGGCATGGTCTCTTAAAATTCGGTCAGTATCCCCACCTCCCACATGAGAAAAACAGTAATAACCTCAGCTCTAGGACCCAGCTGCTGGTGATAATGAGTTAGGACGAGTTATTCCATTCTCAGAAGTGTTACTAAGCTAAGCAAAATCCTTTGGGCTTTTATGTGTCACCTGAAATTTACAAACCATTTTCAGTCTGCTGAAACAAAGAACCATTATTGGGGATGCTGGCATTCAGGAAACTACAGAGCAGGAAGGGATGTCCCTTTACTGGAGACCCCAGGTGGCAGAAGTTTAGTGAACTGATGTAGCAAAAGGAAAACTTTTCATTCAGCCATGGACATGGAAGTCTTTTTTCTTATTTGGTCTGTGAGTACCAAAGGTTAAGAGAAAGAAAATAATTTGAGGGCCAGCCATATAGCTTAGTGGACTAAAGCACCTGCTTAGGCAGGTGTAGGAACTGGAGTATGATCCCTGGTGTGCTGTGCTGGCCCCGCCCCCTAGATGCACTGAGACAATGAATGAAACTGGGCGTGGTAGCACACGCCTGTAATCCCAGCACTTGGGACGCTGAAAACAGGAGGATCACTACGAATCTGAGCTGTGTAGTGAGACCCTGTAGACCCTGTACTGAATACATAAAAAAAGAAAGAAAATAATTTGAGAAGGTTCTGCTCCTTTACCTCCTTGTGTGTATTATTTATACATGTCTAAATAGTCATAAATGATAATTCAGGCCTTACAGGTTGGAGCTCCTGCAAGCCAGGTCCTGAATACAGTAGGCCAAGTAGTATGTGTTACCGCAAAGATTCCTCAGTTAGACATAGTTGCATTGAGTTAAATAGGGAATGGCATATAAAGGTTTGGCCTTGGAACTAGAGACAGCAATCCCTTTATCCCCATGCATTCCCTGGGCAGGACATCATCATCTGACAAGACCTCCAGGGCAGGGTCCCAGAGTTCTCCAGTGAAGAATCACTGTTTAAATATTTTGTATGTGTGCAGGGAAGAAAGGCATACACAACTATAAATGCAGTATTCTAAGAGTAAAATAACCATAGTACAAAAAATAATATAGTTAATCTGATCACCTTTATATAATCATATTGACAACATATTTTCTTCCAGTTGTTTTTCATAAACATAGTTTTATATGTTATAGTATTAATTTTTTTTAATGTGTTTAGTACAGGGTTTATAGGATCTCACTACACAGCTCAGACTCGTAATGATCCTCCTGTTTTTCAGCCTCCCAAGCACTGGGATTACAGGTGTGCGCCACCACGTCCAGTCTCAATTGCAATCTCAGCCCACCTGGTGGATGGGGCTATCAGGGCAGGCTGGGGATTGAACCCCCAGGCCCTGTGTCTGCCTAAATAGGCAGCTTTAATCTGCTGCGCTATCTGGCCAGCCCATAGTCTTAATTTTTGTTACTCTCACAGCATTAGCATTTCTCCTGCTATTGTTTTCTTTCCCTCTTGCTATTGTTATCATTGTTTCTGGCTACATGATATTCCATTAAGGGATTGATAATTGAATATATTGATATCTAATTTCTCAACAGTTTCCCTGATAGTGGATTATTTGGGTTATAATTTGATCATAATGATTTTTTAAAATTTGTTTATTGTTTTTGAGCATGCTAAGAAACCACTAGAATGAGTTGAATACTGGTAAAGAAAAGGCAAAAGATTTATATGATCTGAAGAGAAACCAGAGTATGAATACTGGTAAATGGTAAATAAAGAGAAAAGTTTTGTCCTGCCTTTTCTCTGTGATATGTACTTTGAGATAACCAAATAATTGATAGTTAAACTTTCTACAGAAGTTCAGCTAATAAAAAAGAAGAAAAGAATAAATTAAAAGGCCACTGTTTATTTCTCCTAGTGGAAGAATAATGGTTCTAGGCATTGAGCATCACTGACTGCAAACATCACAAAATGAGAGACAGGGGAGTAGCTCAGTGAGAGAACGCTTACCAGCATGCATGAGGCCTTGGCTCATTCCCCAGTATCTGGACACAAATGGTCAGAACAAAATGGGGAGAAAAAGAGAGTGTGTGTCAAACATTATGTACAGTATTTCCTGATAAATATTACATATAGTGAAGAAGTTTTCTGAAAAAAGGAACTTGAATTTGATCAAGTTAGTATATCTACCTACTAATTTATAAGAAATGCAAGAGACAAAGGAACATGTTAGTATTTGTGGATATAATCAATAAAATCCAAGCCATGAAAAAATATATATAACAACAATCCAATTCCTTTAAGGAAAAATTACAGAGGAGCAAAGAGAAAAAAAGGAAGAAACCAAGGAGACATAAGAATATGAACAACAGTAGCTGGGAATGATGGTGCACACCTGTAATCCCAGTACTTGGCAGGCTGAGGCAGGAGAATCACTGAGAATTTGAGGCCAACCTGGACTACATAGTGAGTTCAAGGCCTGAACTACATAGCCAGGTTTGTCTCAAAACGCATACACACACACACACACACACACACACACACACACACACACACACACACAATCTGAACAACAAAAAACTGGGAAATAAAATTTAAAACAGTAAAACCAAGTAACATGTTGATGTTGTTTATCATTTACAGCAAATGTATCATGCTACCAATAATGTGTGAAACTAGGCTTGTGGTAAATGGGAATTCTCTGAACTGTCTTTTCATTTATTCTATAAACCTAAAACTATTCTAAAAAGGACAGTGTCAGATATTGGCAAATATATGGAAAAACTGGAATGTGCATATGTTAGTATATAAGATAGTATAGCCATTTTGAGAAGCAGTTTAGCAGTTTCTATAAAACATGACCAGCAGTTTCATTCCCAGGTGTTTACCCAAGATAAATGAAAATATAGTATAACCACAAGAAAGATACATATAAGGATGTCTATAGTAGCTGTATTTGTAACAACTCAAGTTTGGAAGCAATCTAATGCCCCTGAAGAGGAGAATGGATAAATACATCATTTATAGACATACAATGGTCTATTTGTTGGCAGTAAAATAGGTAAACTGCTGTTATACCTAGCAATATGGGTGAATCTCAAAAACATGGTCGGTGAAAGAAGCCAAACATTAAAAAAAGCATAGTATGTGTTCTTATTTATTCAAATGTATTCAAGCATAGGCAAAACTAATCTATGCTAATAGAAATGAGACAATGCAGGGTGTAGCCTTGATCAGAGGAGAGGGGAAGAAACAAGAGAGCTCTCTGGGTGAATGTTCTGTATCCTGTTATTGGTTATTACAGAGATGTATATGATTGTCAAAACTTATCCAAGTGAGATACTACAGATATGTGCATTTTTATAAGTTGATAGTATTTCTTTTTTTTTTAAATGGTAACAAGAGACATATCACTCAGTTGCCACATATGGTCCTTATTTGGGTCCCGATTCAAACTTATGACAGTGAGGGAAATGTGCATGCTGACTAGATATGTAGTGTTGATACTAAAGGAATTATTAATTTTGTCTGTAGGAGTCCTTATCTTTTAGGGCTATATATTGAAATATTTACAGATGGAATGATAGACTGTCTGGGATTTGCTTCAAAATAATTCAAGAGCTGGGGAAATGAGTGAGAGCATAAATGAAACAAGGCTGCTCATGTAATAATAGCTGGAGATGCTGCCAATAAGCACTTGGTATGTTGACTGCGCTGTTCTGTATTTTAAAATTTTTTTTTCAAATCTATTACTTATTTATTTGGTATAGGGTCTCACTACGCAGCTCAAACTCGTAGCAATCCTCCTGTCTCAGCCTCCCCAGCGCTGGAATTATAGACATGTGCCATGGCCAGCAGGGCATAGGCATGCAGTACCCAGGATTAAACTCGGGTCCTTGCTCTTGCCAGGCAGGCACTTAGTCTACCAAGCTATCTCCCTGGCCCTATATTTTTTAAAAAGATTTGGAATTTTCTCAACTAATTGGGCATTTAAAGGAATATATATTCCTAAAATGTTTCAAATTTAAAATATATATATATATATATATATATATATATGATGAAATTTTACCATAATTACCCTCAGGACAACTGCTGTTATCTATTGAATTAATATATATTATTCTCCTAAACATTTTTTGTTGTATCTTTCTAAATAAAAATGGGCCCACACTGTACACATTATTCTATCACAAAATAATTTTTTTAAAAAACTAAATCAAGGACATCTTTCCATGCCACTGTTACCTCAACTTTTTAAACACATGAATAAAGTGTCCCATTCATTCTTTCATTCCTTCAAAAGATCTTTATTAAGCACTTATTATGTACCATTCACTACATCTGGTGTTAACTAACAGTGGAGAACATAATAAACAATCTGTCAGAAACCTTAGAACTGGGGCTGGGGAGATGGCTCAATGGAATTAGCGCTTCCCTGGCAAGCGCAAGGGCCAGAGTTCAATCCCCGCTAGAGTTCAATCCCCGGTTCAGCCAAAAAAGAAAAAAAGAAACCTTAGAACTAATAGGAGAGGCAGATATAACAAGTGAGGCAAGATTTAAGTTCAGTTTCATGGTAAGAGTTACGAAAGAAACAAATGCTGGAGTGCTCAATCAAGGCAGTGCTTGTGGAGGAGGGCTTCTCTGAGAAGGTAGTGTTGAAGCAGGGATGTGGGGCGAGGAGGAGATGCCGAGTGAGGGACTTGGAGGATTAGGAAGAGCTAGCACATTGAAGCAGAGGTGATGAGGAGGCATGAGCTGGGAATGTTTCAGGGAGCAGAAGTAGAAGTGTAGAGTGTGAGGAGCTTTAGGGGAAAGGCCTTGCTATGTCCCCAGTTTCAGAGGCCTGTGTAACTGAAGTCTCACAGGGAGGGTGGAAAGTAGCAAGATAGGGCCATGGGCAGGCCAAATCGTGGGTAGGAATTTGGGTTTTATTTTTTGTGTATGCAGAAAGGCCATTGAAGATATTAAGCATGACAAGCCCAGGCCATTATTTATTCCATCAGTCCTTTGTAGATGTTCATGTCAATTGTTTCCAGGGTTTCAATAATATAAAGGAACACTGGAATGTGAATTTTATGAGAACAGGATCTTACCTCTTCTGTTCACTAAATAGCCCTGTTACTCTGTTAAAACCTGACAAAATAGGCTTTCAGTAAACACTGATAGAATTAATAAATGGTACAGAAAATACTTGGCATATCTCTGTATAATATTCTCATTATTTCATTGAAATTCATTTCTAAATGTGAATTGCCAGATCAAAGGGTTACAAAGTTTTGCTTTTGTAATAAAATGCCTTCCAAAAAGATTATACTAATTTACACGTATCTAAAAGAATTTCAGAATTTAACTCAGAACTCAGAGTATGTCTGATAGGTTTAGGAGTGTTAGATTAGATTAATCAATTCCCAAGGACATTTTTTCAGATATTTACAGTTCCTGCTCAATTATGTTTTTCTTTGAAACTTTAGGTCATTGCCAGCTGTGGCATTCATGCTGCAGCCAGCATACAGAGCCCTCTGACGGCATATGAGCCAAGTCACCCCAGCAGCTTAGCATCAGACAACAGGTTTTTTTAAAACTAAAACTTCAGTATTCGGGTTCAATTGCATTGTTGGCAGTTTGCAGTTAGTAAGTGGGTTTTGGATTGCAGTTAGGGCATTCAGTCTCTAAAAGGCTCACAGTTGTTGCTATAGGTGCATAGGAATATTTCTATCTTAGGCCAGAGGCTAATAATAAGGATAGGGACTGTTTCTAGTTTATGGATTTTTTTGGAGGGTGGGTGGCTCAGGCTACCTTAAAAGGTAGGTCTGGTGTGGCACGTGGAGCTGGGGATTGAACCGCGGTCCCCTGAGCCTGACTGAGTTTGCCCAAGCAGGCATTTTAAACAACTGAGCTAACCCACAAGCCCTGTTTCTTGTTTATATATCTCACACTTTAGCAAAATGATTGGCCCATTGCAGTACTCAGTAAATATTTTAACTTTACCACCACTCACCAGCAAAAGTTTCCAATGTTTATAAGCAAGTCCATGGTACTAGAAATATAAAATCAGGGTCTTTTCAGAATTAGTAGTATGAGTTACTAGTGTGTTACGAGAAACAGTGACATCTGGGCCACTAAAGGGTATGGCTTCTGAGCATGTTTATTTCTGGCCCCACCACCTACTGTCTTGGATAGGCTATTGCAGTTTCTCATCTGTAGAATGAGGACAGTAGCTATAGGATCCTAGAATTAAATGAGCCCCATGAAGATAATCTTTTGGGTAATTACTAGACAAGTTTCTATTTGTCTCTTCTTAACAGCTAGAAGAAAAACTCAAAGAAAAAGTCGATGTAAGTCTGACAGAACGAATCAATCTCATGGGAGAAATGGACACATTCAGCACGTATGTACCTTGTGCATGTCTGCTCAAGGGTGCTTGTCTTTTCTGCTTTGTGGAATGGCACATGTCAGGGTCACTGCAGACCCTAAAGGGTTTCCTGGACCTTCTGTTGGATTGGGGTTATTTTCCACTAGCCACTGAAAATAAGCATTAGAATTAGAAGCTGTCTCCTGTTCTGCCTGCTTAGATACAGTCATTCTCTTAGCTTACAGGTGCAGGGAAAGTATCTTTATGATGACACTCTCTGGAATAACAAAGAAAAGAAATCTTCCTTTGGCTATGCAGCAGGGAGATCTAATGCCAGGTTGCCCATTTAAACACACAAAGGGCCAGGCCACCTCCTATGTTTTAGAATATAAAATTGACAGGATTGGCAGGATTTTAGCCATCAAAAGTATAATAGTCACAGGTGTTTGCCTGTCAAGCACAAGGTCCTGAGTTCAATTCCCAGGACCCCCTCCCAAAAAAAGTATAATAGTATGCATGCACATGTGTGTTCTCGCTTGCTTGCTCACTCGCTCTCTCTCTCCCCCCTCCCTCTCTCTTGCTCTCACTCTCTCTCTCTCTGTATATGTGTGTGTGTATGTAAGAGAGAGGCAGACAGACTTGAGGAGGTAAGGGTAGACTCTGTCAAATAATAAAAAGCCTTTTGGGGATATTTTTGGGGTATTTCTCTCCCTGGTATAACTTTGTAATATTTCTGTTATTTTCAGCTCGTGGTCTACCACATTAAGTAGGTTTGAAATATATCCCATTTCAGGTTTCACTCAGCCATTTATCAAAGAAAAATTAAGGGCTGGCCGGATAGCTCAGCAGACTAAAGCGCCTGCTCAGGCAGAGCACAGCAGCCAGAGTTCAATTCACGGCCTCTGGTGGCAGCCCCGCCTCTGCAGCAGGCTGAGATGGCAATTGAGACTGGGCGTGGTGGTGCGAGCCTATAATCCCAGTGCTTGGGAGGCTGAAAATAGGAGAATCACTGTATAGTGAGACCTTGTAGACCCTGTAGACCCTGTACTAAATTCATTTAAAAAAAAAGAAAAATTAAAATTTCCAGATTCCCAGTCCATTGCTTCCTCCTCTTTGCTATTGTTATTCTTGTGTTGTTGTTCTGATTTAAAACAATGGATACAACAGGTACTTTTGAAGGAGAACTTGAAGAGGGATTCTGGGACTGGCCCTGAAAGCTGAGGTCCTCACAGGTGGAGGCATCCCAAATAAGACCCAAAATGAAAAGCGAGCCAACTGCTCCTCCATTGTCATTAATTCAAACTTGAGCTTTCGTGATGACATAATGAATCTAAGTTTTACACAGGTGCCTGGTAGAGTGGAAGGAGCTGACTCAGCCATTCAAGTGGTCATTTTCCTAAGCAGTGACCACCATATTTTGCTTGACTTGCAGAGTCATCTCCAGCAGCATTCAGTTGTTGGTTCAAGACCTGGATGCAGCCTGTGATCCTGCCCTGACTGCCATGAGCAAGGTAGGGTTTTAGGAACTGACTTCTTCCTAAACTTCCCAGAGTGATTGAGATGATATCTCTTTGCCCTTGCTGCTAGCTTCTTTGAGACTCTTTAGAGCTTAAATGTCAGCTGAGAGGAAACTGTTATGACCTCATGGAGTTCTCCAAAGTATACTGCTTATCTTGCACCTTAAATCATTGCTTATCCTTTGAGAATGAGACTGAGAATAAATGTTTTTGGTGAATCTAAAGGAGATGTTGTCTTTGATTAGCATCTGACTTGCTAAAAGCTTAGTGTGGTCTCATTAGAATGAGTATTTTTGGTAGTGTTTTGAGCAGTAACTTTGACTTATTCTTCTTTCTTGCCCTCTGAGCTATTTTATGACTATTTCTGATCTTTGGTGCTGATACCAGATTAGTTGATCAAGTTGAACATTTGTTCAAGTTGTACGCACACTCAGGTTTTCTAATGTCCTTGTGATCTATCAGTCAGCCCTTGGATCTTAAATTCACTCCCTTGATGCTTACTGTATGCTGTGTCATGTTGCTGTTTTGGACTTTTATTTGTCTATGCCTTCCCCTACCCAAGAACGTGTGGACCCTGTACACTACCCTCCCTCTCTCATATATCTTGAATACAGAAGATTGTCATATCTGTTAAGTTAAAATAGACAGTTCTGTCTCTGTGTTTTTGTTTTGAAACAGGGTCTTGCTATGTAGCTCAGTCTGGCCTCAATCTTATGGCCATCTTCCTGGCTCAGCCTCCCATGTGATGGGAATATAGGCAGGTGCCGCCATGCCCAGTGAAAATAGGTAATTTTTTTTTCCCCTGTATTTAGGACAGCGTCTACAGGGTATACATGAGGTCTCACTACGTAGATCAGACTCTTAGTGATTATCCTGTTTTCAGCCTCCCAAGTGCTGGGATTACAGGCACATGCGACCACGCTCAATTATTGTCTCAGTCTGCTCCAGGGGCAGGGCCAGCATAGCATACCGGGTATCGAACCCTGGCTGCTGCACTCTGCCTAAGCAGGCACTGTAGTCCGCTAACTATCAAGCCAGCCCTGTTAATAGGTAATTCTTTTTTTTTTTTTGCATTGCATTATTTTATTTTTAAAGACAGTACAAAATAGTATTAAAACAAAAAATTACAAGTGATACAAAATTTCACTTAACAGAATAATATGAGTTTCACAATATTTGTTGTAATGCATAGTGCTGTCTTCCAAGTAGTTGTCCATCTACCAGATATATGCGTGCAACATTGGAAGAAGAAAGAAATATGTAAGAAATAAGAAGAGGAAAAGGAGCAGCAATTGAAACAAGGAGTAAAAACAAATTAAGCATTAACTGCTGCTTACCGTAGACCAGCAGAAATGTGCAATGCAGTTGTCCACACCATCCTGCTTGCATACATAGATAAATATCTTAAAGGAAATTTATTATGATCAAATTATAGAAATATTTACATTAAAATACCCACCTTCCCATCAAATATAACTGTTCAATTGTTAAGGTCTGAAAAAGGGGAAAAGTTAAAGTAGTTGTGGTAGAATCATTACAGTGATTGTCACCCCTCACTGCTTCTCCCAACTCCATTTAATTCTTATTAGATTTGTTTAGAAATATAACACACAGAAAGCAAGTAAACTTAGTCAAATCCAGTTTTAAAGTTTCATTGAGTTCCAGACATAGCACTATCTGGGGCTGGGAATATAGTTCAGCAGCATAAGCGTCTCCCTGGCAAATGCATGGTCCTGAGTTTGATCTCCACTACTCTTATTCTCCTGTGTTTAATTGTTTGCCCTATTTGTTGGGTTCTTTCCATTCCTATTCATGGGGCTGTGATCAATTTGCTCCCTCTCTAGAACATCATTTAATAGTCTTTGTAGGCTTGGCTTTGTCATCATGAAATTCTTGGGCCGGGGAGATGGCTCAATGGAATAAGCTCTTCCCTGGCAAGCGCAAGTGTGTGAGTTCAATCCCCGGTTCCACAAAAAATTTTAAAAAAATGAAATTCTTTAGTTGTTCTTTGTCATGGAAGTATTTCACTTCTCCATTATACTTGAAAGAGATTTTTGCAGGATATATCAGTCTGGGTTGGAATGTGTTTTCTTGCAAGACTTGAAGTACTTTGCTCCATGCTCTTCTTGACTTGATGGTTTGTGAAGAGAAATCTGCTGTTATTCTGATGGGTTTCCCTTTAAATGTGATCTGTTTCTTTTCTTTAGTGGCTTTTAGTATACTGTTCCTATGCTGAATTTCTGGGATCTTGATTATTATATGTCTGGGTGTGGTTTTAATTGGGTTGCTATTATTTGGAGTTCTATATGCTTCGGTTACCTGAATGTCAGATTGTTGCCCCATATTTGGGAAGTTTTCTGCTATTACTTCAGTCTATATTCTTTTTATATCATTTATATTGACTCCTTCCTTCTCACTGATGCCTATTAGTCTTACATTGTTCATCTTTGCATCATCTTGCAGGTATTGAATTATTTTTTCCTGCATCCTAGTTGTTTTTAAGAGATCTTTTCTTTCTTTTTCACTAGCTGCAATGGTGTCTCTAAGGTCAGAAAGTCTATTTTCACTTTCGCTCAAACGGTTTTGCCAGCTTGTGATTGAGGTTTTAATTTCCTGTATATCACTTTGAACCTGTTTCATACATTCTATTTCTTTCCTAAATTGCTTATTCAGGGGTTCTATAATTTTTCTATTCTGCTCTATTTTTTTTTATCAGTGTATTCTTCAGAAGCATTTAGTACTTCTTTAATTATAGTTATCACTAAATTTTTTAGTTCAGAAATTATTTCTGATCTGATTTCTTCTATACCTTTCTGCAGTTGTTTCTTTACTGCCAACGATATTATTTCAGAGATAGTTGGTGTATGATTTCCGGTTTCCTCAATGCTAGTGTCTTCTGCATTTGTACTGGGTGGACTTGGGGCCTGAAACTGCATTTTGTTCCTTCTCTTTGTCATTTTGTATACCACTGTCTTCTGACCTTTGGTGTAGAGCTTAGATAGAGTTATTACCTTAGCACCAGGTCCGGATCTACAAAGTTCGGATTCCTCCAGGTGGGTGTTGCTTGGATCTGGCTGCTGTACTCCACTTCTTTCTGCCACAGTCATTAGTGTTGAACCCTTTGTGTCACCCTGGCAAGATGTTCTGCTCCTGAAACAGCTGGGTGGGTCTTGCCTCTAGCCTCTTTGCAGGGAGATCTGCTGAATGGTTCCGTGCTGGGCCTGCACTCTGCATCAAATGAGGATCCAGTGGGCCCCAGGTGGTCTCATTCACACACCGGACCTGCGCTCTGGGTCTATTCAGGATCCGGCGGCCCGGGTCCTCACATTCACATGCAGGGCCTGGGCTCTGGGTCTATTCAGAATCCGGCGGACCCCATGTTGTCTCACTCACTGGCCGGGCCTGCGCTTCTGGTCTATTCAGGATCCGGTGGCCCTGGGTCCAATAGGTAATTCTTTATTGACTTTTTTTTTTTTTTTGTAGAACCAGGGATTGAACTCAGGCCCTTGCACTTGCCAGGGAAGCACTTATTCTACTGAGCCATCTCCCCAGCCCCTCTTTATTGACTTTTTAAGCCCAAATACTATAACATGAAGCTACCCACTTTACAACTCTGTGGAACATGAAGGGGTGACAATGTAATCTGGTTGGGCCAAATCTGGCCCACTACCTTTTTTAAAAAAATGTATTTGATACAGGGTCTCACTCTGCAGCTCAGACTTCCTCTTGTTTCAGCCTCCCCAGCACTGGGATTACAGGTGAGCACCACCATACTCAGTCTCTCGGCCAGCTAGGCGTACCCGGTGTGGGGCCAGCACAGCGTGTGGTACCAGGAATCGAACCCAGGTCCTTGCACTTGCCTAGGCACACAGTTAGACTGCTGAGCTATCTCCGTGACCCTAGCCCACTACCTTTTTTTAAAAAAATAAGTATTTATTGGAATACAACCAGGTCTGTTTATGTACTGTCTATAGCTGCTTTTGTACTGAAGCCATAGAATTGAGTAATTGTAACAGAAACCATATAGGCCTCAAAGCCAAAATATTTACTGTGTAAGCCTCTACAAAAAAAGTATTCCAAAGCCAACTCTAGAGTCATAGCCTCTTATAGCATTCTTGAAAATTCTGTAGAAGAAACTTCTGTGGGGCACATTAGCCCCAGAAGACAATGAAAGGAATTGTGACTTTGGAGTCAGATAGACCCAACAGCTTCTCCTTGGAGGATGATGAGGAATAACCTGTCTGGGCCTGTTACTTCCCCGGTTAAGTGCAGCTGTCTGCCTCCCAGAGTTGTGAGGATGGAACATTAGGAGAGTGCCTAGCCTGGTGCCAGCCATGTAGTAAATGCCCAGTAAGTGTTAAGTTCTTTCCTTCTTACCAAGAGGAGTGACCGTATCACAGATTCTGTAAGCAGACATCTGGTCTGAAGATGGGTTGCAGTAAGTAGATAATAAACAACAAAAATAGAACTAAAACCAAAACTTGCTATGGCGTTTTAAGAAATGAAATGGGAAATTATCAAATAGCTGATGTCACAAAGTCTGTCAAAAGGTGACCTTCTCACCAATCAGATGCTGATGGGTATTTTTAGTATTTACAAGCAGCTACTCCAAGCAGGCAGATTGAGGCTAATCCATTGTCTTACAGGCACATGGTTATGAGGATTCGTTTTGTAGGTTCTGATTATCCCCTTGTTGCTGGTGAGTGTTCACTACATCCTGAATGCAATCTGTTCCAGCTGCCATAGCTCCTGAGCTGCCACACACTGCAGCCTGGAATGCAGCTGGTGAAAGAATTTTCACATTGACCAAGGGAAGACTAGAAGTTTTTTCTTTCAGTAAAATAACACTTGGAGGAGTTTTAACACTCCAGGTGTTGCTTATATGAACTGTCAGTTCATTTGGTGGATTTCTCTCCAGCACCCCTTGTACCCTACCACCCATTTCTCCCCCAGACCCACACTAAAAAAGATTAACAGAGATCATACCTCCAGCA